CCACCCGGCCACCTACCCACTCCAAGTCCCAGGCACTAGGCCCTCTGCCTGCCTCAGGGAGACCCTCTGCTTGGCACCTCATTTTGGCTGCCGATTTCCTAGGCCTCCAGGAGTCCCAGAGGCAGTACCCGCCGGCGCCCCGGACCACGGCTCCCTCCACCGCTCTCCGCTTGCCCCAGCCCCCAGCGCGGCCCCTTTCTGTCCAGGTGTGAGGTGGCCCAGCGGGCCTGGTCCGGGTCACGCTTGCCTGGGCTCTGCTTGTGCAGGGCCTGGGGGGCGCGCGGTAGCAGTTGAGGGGGAGTCGGAGCCAGTCCCAGCACCCGCCCCCCCGACACATGATGTGGGGGCGGTTCTAGGCCCCCTTAGCTGGAATCCGGTTGGTGACCAGATACGCCGAAGGCCCAGCCGTCACCAGGCGCCCCAGCGGATGTGTCACTGCTGAAGTCGCCGTTGCTCCCAACCCGGTCCCTCCTGGGGCCCCTCCTGTGGTCACAGACCTAGAACCCCGAGAAGCCCGTCTGACCTAAGCAGGGCTACAATCCATCTGCTGCCCCTTGCTCTGTTGCTTCACACCTCTGAATCCGCTGCCCCTCCCCTCCTGCTGCCTCCACACCCTCAGCTTGACCTGGGAGAGCCTGAACCGCTCCAGCCTGTTGCATGGTCCGTGGCTGCCTCCTGCCCCAGGCCTGGCCCAGGGACCTGTGTGGTCACCCTTTTCCCGGGACTCACCCTGGAGTGCTTCGGGCTGCATCGGCTGGGGCCCAAAAACACAGGGTCTTGCAGGTGCTTCCTGACCCCAGGTGGCCCAGCGAGGCACCGTGACAGGCAGGGCAGGGCAGAGTCCTTCCTCAGGCCACACCAACCTCCAGCCCTACTGCTGACCTGCTTAAGTACCTGTGACAGTTGCCCCATGGCAGCTGCTGCTGGAAAAGGGGCAGCACCTCGTGGGCTGACGAACCCGAGATTGACCCCGACACACCATTCTCAGGTCGGACAGTCCTGGAGGCACTGCCCTGGGGCAGCTGACCCATCAGCAGGCGTGTTCCTCCTTGAAAACCCTCAACCCTGAGTCACAGGAGCTTCCAGACAAGTGAGGGAGGGGCTTAGGTCTGCATCCCGCCCACTTGGGAGGCTCCCGGGAGGCCTCCAGGCCACACCTCAGACTCGGACCCAAAGGAGCCCAGGTGCCCAAAGGGCCCAGGCGACCACACGGGGCCGCTGGTCCATTCCAGCCTTGGAGCAGTCTGCCAGAGGTTCCTGGGGGCGGGCTCATCTGTCCCTGGAGGGCACACCACTCGTCTTCTCAGACTGGAAGCCCCTGATGTCTCCAGCTGCCGTGTTCACCGCCGTTCCCAAGAAAGTCTTGGACCTTAGATCCTGGTCCTGTTTCTGGGCCTGGGAGGCTCCCTGGGATTGGTCGAATTGCCTCTCCTCCCGGTGGCACCCCAAAGATGCTCCCTCAGAGCTGTTTGGAAGGTGACCCACTTCCACCATCCCATGGGGTCCTGGCAGGAAATGGCCCAAGAACTCCCGTAAGCTGCGACCTCATCTGACGAGGGATCCCCAGCCTGAGGGGGCAGGGCTCTGCCCTGGGCCACCACTGACCCTCAAGAAGAGGGAGGAAGCTCTCTCCCCACCCTCCAGAGGCTGGTGGCTGAGTGGGGTGGGGGCAACTGGGCCCTCTCCTTCCGGGCCAGAGGGCCTCACGCTCACGCTCACGCGCGTCCATGGGCATGTGCTGGGGGCTGTGGCACAAGCGTGTGCACGTGTGGGTTTGACTGATTCTCTGGGAGCCGGTCAGCCTCTAGCTGGACTCAGGGGGGCCCTCCCAGGAATGACCTAGCCCCTGCCGGCTCCTCATGAACTGTTTGCCCCATTTCTCACCTGGGAAGCTCGGACTGGACAGAATGGCATCGTCCCCACCTGAGCTGGCCCAGCCTACAGCAGGCTCCAGGCTCCAGGCTCCAGGCACACACACAAGAATGAATGAGTGAATGGGGGCCCTGGAGATGTGGGAGAGGCCTCTCCTCTCCACTCACCAGGTTGGAGAGGAGAGGTCCCTCCTGCTGACGTTGGCCAGTGTTGCTCCTCTGACCCTGGTGCCCGGCCACCTCATGGATAAGCTCCTGCCTTTATCCGCTGTCCTTGGCCTTGCCCCAACCCAGTGACTTCCTGTCCCCGCCCCCACGACACGCCAGCTTTTCCATGACATGGCCTTTGTGAGTTGGGGGAAAAGGAGACCAGTGGGGCAGGAAAGGGGCAAGAGCTGGGCTGCGAGGCGGAGGAGGGGGGAGATTGAGGGCATCTGCCAGCCCCACTGCAGCAGCCCAGAGTGCACACCTAGCCAGGCCCGCCGGGGCCCTTGCACTTGCGGGGTGCCCTTGCCCAGAGCAGTGATGGCAGGGCCGGACGTGGTTTCTGACCCTGAGCAGTGTGGCTGGCTCACTCAGGCCCTGGCCAGCTCCCCTGCAACTCGGGTTCCTGCCGGGGGCCAAGGCCAGTTCCTTACTCCCCCTACAGCCACCCATGCGCCGATTTCCGCCCCCACCCCCATGGGACAGACACGTGGTGGTGAGGAGGGGGAAGTGGCTGTGGAGGCTGCTGACATCTTTTGAGACCCGGAGCCCAAGGTCCAGGCTAGCTGGCCAGGAGCAGAGCCCGGAGCTGCAGGCCCTGAGCCTGGGCTGCAAGGAGTCAAATACAAGACCAGGAGAGCCTGTCGTGCTGGGAGGAGGGCAGGGCCCAGCAGAGGCCAGGCTCCTCGATCCCTCCCTCCCCACGGTGGCCTCACAGCCCTAGCGGCCACTGCCAAAGCCCAGGTCCCAGGCAGGATAGCACTCCAGGGCCCCAGCCAACCCATCACAGCTTCACTTTCAACAGTTTTATTTCACAAAATGTATAGACAAGCTACATTGGCAACACCTTTTTTAATTAAAATAAGTCATCTCTGCTCTGTAAGCTGCAGGAGGCAGGGGGTGGGTGGGTGGGGGTGGGGTGAGAAGGCTCCAACGGGGCACTAACCAGCAGAGCCCCCTTCCTCCTCATCGCTGCCGTCGGGGACGGCGTCAGTCCCGAAGTAGCGGTCGCCAAAGTTCCCTGAGGGAAGAGGCAGGTCCCTGTGGTGGGGACCCAGCCCACCGCCCCCGAGCGCCCCTGCCTGGACCGGGCAGTCTCACCGATGCCAGGGATGATGCGGAAGAGATCGTTGACACGCTTGTCCACCGCCGTGGTGATGATCCTCACGCGTGGGAATGCGTAGGCCACCGAGTGGACACCCATCTCCGCCATGAGCAGCGACAGCAGGAAGATCTTGTCCTCGGGCACATCGTGGTCCTGCGCAGCCAGGGAGTGAGCCCCGCCCAGCCGCTGTCCGCTCCCCCTCCCCCTCCGCTGCTCACCAGGAGCACCCGCACCGCCATCATGGCCGCAGCGCCGGTGGACACGGTGCAGTCCATCAGGATAACGTGGTCATCGCTAATGTCCTTGGGGAGCCGCAGGTAGTGGAGCTGCGGGCAGCCACAGGGTCAGAGCCCAAACCAAAGGCCGCACCTCAGGCTGCCAGTGCCCCCACCCCCTTCTCTTTCCCGCCCCTGCCATGCCCTCACGCCCAGGACCACAGCGCCTGTGTGCGGCCCCACCTCGGGCTCCCCGGTGAGCTGGTTGGTCTGGATGAGAATGGTACCGATGCGCACATCCTTGCACACGGCCCGCAGTGCGGGTTCCATGGTCTCTCCCGCCCGCAGGATGGACACACCTGTGATCTGGGGAGCACGGGGCTGAGCTGGCGGACCACCCCTCTTGCCTCCCCAGACCCACCTGCAGGCCAAGCCGCTGGTACCTGCTTCCCGGCATAGCACTTGCCCGCGTAGTCTTGCCCTTGTGGGGTCTGAACCACGCAGTCCTGCAACAGAGCGGAAGGCAGTGGTGAGCCTGAAGCGCACCCCCCCAATTCCTGGCGCCCCCAGCGCCTCCCAGGCCCTGCCTGCCGCACACCTGGAAGGGCAGGAAGGAGAGTGCGTGCTCGATGAGCAGCCGCATCAACCTCTTGGAGTAGAAGATGAACTCATCACGGCTGGTCTCCTTGTCCCTGGGGGCCACCATGGGTTCAGCGAAGGGCCAGGGCCGCCCACCCCGCCCCGCAGGAGGGCCCTCACCTGATGATGGTGTGCATGCCCCGCACCTGCGGCGTGCTTTTGAGGACACTCAGCGTCCGGGGCAGGGGGTGGCACTGGTGCGCCGAGGCTAGTGCGGCCCTGGGGACACAGACCGATGGGGAACTCAAGAAGGTATGTCTTCTCCCCAAGCCCCGTCCTCCCACTGTGGGCTGTGGGGGGTGATTGTGGTGGGAACAGCGGGTGTGTGGCTGGTCTGGAGGGAGGGCCCCACCCCGAGATGCCCTCCCCCTTAACAGCCAGGCAAAGGTTAAAGGACACAGTGGGAGACAGAGCAGCTGACCATTAGACAGAAAGCAGGGGCTGTGGTGTGAGCCTCCCCTCTCCACCCGGTCCAGATCCCCTCCTGCAGGACTTGGCAGTGGGAGGGCTCAGATGTCGGATGAACCTCAGCCCCCAAGATGGGCAGCTGGTCCCCACCTCAGGACACCTCTCCCTGGGGAAACAGCTGAGCACTGGGGCCAAGCCCCACCTACCCCTTCCCCCTAGGTGATGCTTGAGCCCCTCAGGAAGGGGCAAAGCTGGCCTAGTGCCCCTGCTGCCAGGGCCTGGGGGGAGCAGGAGGAGGAGCTGGGGGTGGGGGGGAGGGGCCTGCAGCCGAGGCCAGGCACACAGCGCAGGGACAGGCAGGCGGCACCACGACCAGAGCACTCTGTCCTCACATATCCCAGCGCAGCTTCCTCTGCTCGCCAGGTGAAGAGATGAAGAGGAGGTTCGGGGAGGGAACAGGGCAGGAAACCCAAGGGTTTACAGAAAAGAGGAAAGAAGAAAGAAAAGACCATTCAGCAGGGAGCATCGGTGGTCCCCGCGGCCACTGCAGGCCTGAGGAAGAGCAGAGCAGGTAGCAGGTGGCGGGGAGACGCCTCCAGCCTTCGCCCCAGTGGGCACCAGCGAGCCGACACCACGCTGCCCAGCGGGCCCCCACCCGCCAGCACTTCCGGGGGCTGAGGGAGGCGGGTGGCCGCTGGTCACCACTTCCTTGGCTGACCAGAGAAAGGAAACTGAAGCTGGCTATGTGGAGGTGTTTTCTCGAGGTTGAAACCCTGGAAACTTTTTTCTCAGAACAAAGGCTTCCAGGGGACCTGTTGTGACAAGACCTGCAAGTGCCCTGGTCTGGCGAGAGCTGAGCAGGGACTCATGCCAGGGCAGGAAGCTGGAGAGGCCGGCGACCGGCCTAGAGGCATTTCCAACACCGCACGAGCTCTGGGGCTCAGTCTGGCACTTTCCAAGTCCACAGAGGGTGCCGGCTGAGGGCAGGTCACTCATGCTGACCTGTGTGGGGACAGGTGCTCACCCGCCTCGGGGTAGGACGTAGATGCAGCCCCAGGGCTCCGAGGCCGCCCTGCCACCCACAGCCCCCCCTTGCCCCTGCGCCTCAGCTCCAGGGCCAGGGCGGCCAGGGGGCCTGTGGCTAGGGCCTCACCACCGCCTGGGGGAGTAAAGACTGGCCTCTCAGACCAAGTAGAGTTGCTGCAGACCCAGGCTCTCTGGCTACTGATGGACATGCCTGTGGCCACCACCCTGGGGACCCAGCAGTGCTGGCTCAGGGCAGCTGTGCCCTCAGGTCAGACCCCATACAACCAGCCCCAAGTTAGGCAAGAGCCTTCAAAGAGACCCCACCGGGCTAGGGTCAGGGTGCTATGTGACCTCAGGCAAGTCCCTTAACCTCCCTGGGCCTTAATTTCCTCAACTGCCGGCAAGGACAGGTGGAAGCAGTGGTGGAGTGGGTAGATGTGGTGGGACGGGAACTGCCTGCCTGCCTGCCTGGGTGACAACCCAGACTCTTGAGCTCCCTGTGGACGTTGGAAATGCCTCTGTCCATGTGGACAGGTGTGGGAAGTCTTACCTGACACTGAGCTCACGCTGCGGCAGCAACACAGGGAGACACAAGGGAACGGGGCGGGCATCAGTGACGGCAGCACTGCTCACCTCACGGTCACCAGACAGCACAGCCAGTCGCCACCGTGTGCCTCGGCCAGCCAGGCCACCCCCACCCAGAAATGGACAAGCCACAGGCCCACGGGGGAGCCAGGACCCCCGGGACTGTATTCTGCAGGCCACAGGCACCCCATGAGGAAGCCTGTCCAGAGCAGTGGGCAGTGCCCATGGCTGGCCCTGGGTGTGTGACCTCCCAGGATGCTTGAGACATGGGACTCGGCACCAAACCCAACCGTCGCCCAGAAGGGCTGGGAGGGACAGGGAGGACAGGGAGGACAGGGGCATACCCCACTGCATAAGGCCCAGCTCAGGCTAGGAGTGCGGGAGACATCTCTGTGCCCCCTGCTTCCTCAGGGAGCCCAGCAGCCTCTGGCGGCACAAAGCTATATGAGCCGTGTGGCTATGGGCGGTGACAGTAGGGGGGTGGGCCACAGGGGTGGGGGTACTCGGCGACTGGCTCACCTCCTCCAGCTGGCTGTGCACATGCTGCACAATGAGGTCGATGGCCACCGTGTTTCCGCTCCCTGAGGCGGGGCAGGATGGGACGGGGTGGGGGCGGTGAGGTTTGGCCCCACCCCACCCCCGGCACCCACACCGGTGGGCCCACAGCTCACCCCGGGGCACCACGATGTCTGCCACACGCATGGTGGGCTGGATGTACTGGTCAAAGGCTGGCTTCACAAACTTGTTGTACTGCTTGATGACGCCCTCGATGTCCCGGCCCCGCTCGCTGATATCTCTGCGCAGCCGCCGCACGAGGCGGATGTCAGAGTCCGTGTCCACAAAGATCTTCATGTCCAGGAGCTGGAGAGGGGCGAGTCACTGGGGGCCTGGAATGAGGGGCTCCAAGGCCCTGACACCAGCAGGGCCAGCATGGGCCACATGGGATCCCCTCCTGCAGGGCTGGCTATGATGGCTGGGAACAGACTGGGCCCCCGGGGCACCTCACAGGACTGGACGGTGCTGTCTGCACGTGTGGTGTGGACAGTGGTGGCTGTGCGTGGTGTGCCTGGGTGCTGTCTGCAGGGGCTTCAGTCAAAGAGCACCAGTTGTATGCAGGCTGCCAGGACACTGCTGCCTGGGTAGCTGCCGTCCATGTGAGCTCACTTGTGGGCGCTCACAAGCTCCAGGGGTCTGGGGCCTGGTCCCTCCCACCACACCCACAGGGCAGTTCTCAGGCCTGGTGAGCACAGGGCCTCCTGGCCCCACACTCAGCACACGGCAGGTGACGCCTGAAGGGGCCGTGTCGGGCGGCAAGGGCTCCTGCGCCTGAGCACAAACTCAGAGCCAGCACAAGGAACGAGAACAGGAGCACGGCTGGCACAGGCCTCCCTGGGGCCTCGGCGGGGCCGGAGAGGGCGCCTTGGGGCGTGGCCTGGCCGGCAGCCTGCCACACCTGGAGCGGCTGCCCAGAGCCCCCCAGGGGACAGGATGCCCGCAAAGGCGGCATAGACACGGGAGGCTGCTCCCTCCCAGACAAGAACGCATGCGCGGGCAAGTGAAGCCTCTCCCACCGACATCGCTTTGACCTTCGGCGACCACGCTGACCCCCAGGAAACAGCAGCAAAAACAGGGATGAGAAGGGGTGAGCGAGAATCAGGAGAGGCCACTTCTCACCTGACGCTGGGACGACAGCACAGCACAGGGACAGGACACGTGGCTGGGGCCCACCCGCAGGAGGCAAGTTTAGGGCGAGTCCTACAGGAGGACCAGGGGCCAGGCAGGACCCACCTCCAGCAGCGTCTTGTCAGCAAAGGCCATGATGCCCTCAAAGATGATGACATTTGCACCGTAGAGCGTTTTCTGCAAAGGAACCGCGTGTGTTGAGGCGGCTGCGTGGCCCAACGCCAGCCCCATGCAGCCGGGCCCACGGAGCCTACCCAGTCCTTCTTCCGGCTGTGAGTGGTGAAGTCATAGATGGGCACCTTGACACTCTTGCCCTGCTTCAGCTTCTTGAGAGTGGAGATGATAAGGTCGAAGTCAAAGGCATCTGGGTGGTCAAAGTTGAAGTTGTTGTGGGCGGCCTGCTCCTGCTGCTGCCTGGTGAGCACCTGCGGTGGGGGGGGAGGCGGAGCAGCTGCAGGGGGAGGTGCACCTGCAGGGAGAGGAGCAGCTGGAGGGGGAGGAGCAGCTGCAGGGGGGAGCACCTGCAAGGGGAGGAGCACCTGCAGGGGGAGGAGCAGTAGCTGGAGGAGGAGGAGCACCTGCAGAGGGAGGAGCAGCTGCAGGGGGGAGCACCTCCAGGGGGAGGAGGAGCAGCTGGAGGAGGAGGAGCATTTGCAGGGGAGGAGCAGCTGGAGGAGGAGGACCACCTACAGGGGGAGGAGCAGCTGCAGGAAGAGGAACAGCTGCAAGCTTAGGCCCCACATGGAGGCAGGAGCTGTGGACCTCAGGGTCAGAGCTTGCACAGGCGGGACATCCTCACCTTGTAGAAGGAGTCCATGGACAGCAAGACCACCCAGGGCACGTCCAGAGCCTCAATGATCATTCTAGCCACAGTGGTCTTCCCAGAGGCACTGCCACCTCCCAGGCCTGTGGGAAGGGAGAAGAGACCCTGAGCAGAGTGTCCCCGGCCAGCCCCACAGACGGGTCCCAGGGGTGCCCGTCACCCAGCATGCTGCCTCTGCTCACAGGGACCAAACAGCCCTTTCCAACTAAGCCACCAACCTCCCTCCCTCATTCCCCGGCCGACATCTGACCTGGGACCCAGGGCAGCGCAGGTCAGCAGAAACACTGGCCAGGGCGTCAGACAGTGGGCCCTGCCTGACCTGTCCACTCAGATGTCAGGGCCAGCGGCAGCCTCAGCCGCACCCCCACCACCCGTGCTCACCGATGGCGAAGGCCTCCTTGGACTGTGTGCCATGCTCGTTGTACCAGGGCGGCCGCCCCGCCGTGTAGATGGTGCGCTTACTGGTGCGCAGCAGGGGCGGCTCAGACTTGCACTGGCTAGTGGTGCGCTTCCGGGGCGAGCGCCCAGCACCCACGGTGGGGAGGAGCCTGTCCAAGGATTCTGCGTTGCTGCTGCAGAGGAGGGGTACACACTCACCTTGACCCTGGGCCACCAGCCCACCACCACCCCGTGCTGGGTCTGGTGTGACCGGTTCAGGCAATGCCCCCACACAGGTATTGGCCTCGGCCAAAGTGAGCTGACCCAACTGGGGGCACAGGAGCCCGGGGCTACCCAACTGCAGGGCTTATGGCCTCGGACTGTCACTGCCCACAAATCCAGATGGACAGCAGTGACAATGGGGACGCAGGGGGACTGGGCATCAGCTGGGCTGGGTAGGGCCCCTGCTGCCCCAGCAGACGAGAGATGGGCGCGCCCAGGACAGTCAAGGCCCCTTCACACACAAGGACTGTGTTCTGTCCCAGCACACACTCTGGGCGGCCCTTCTGTTTCATAAGATCCAACCCTGCACCCTGTGGGCATGCAGGGAGAGGGGCTCCTGGAGAGACAGGCCGCTGACAGGAGGGCTGAGCAGGCGGCAGCATGGACAGACCAGGAGGGAAACTTGGGGCTGGGAGACCAGGAGCAGCGCCCTGTAAACTCCAGGGAGAGGGGCAAAGGCCCCCAAAGGCCAGAGGGTGGGAAACAACATGGGAGAAGACCCCACCCGCGCCTGCACTCCCCACGCTGCATCACAGCTGAGCTGTGCTGACTCCTCTGTCAGTTTCTACCCCAAAGAGCATGGACGTGATTACCAGCCCAAGGCCTCAAACCCTGCAGGGACAGCGGGCTAAAAAGCCGACAGGTGGGCTGTGCTGGGAGGCTGGGACGCAGAGCTGGGCGTACAGGTGGCCGAGGGCCAGGGCAAGCTCAAGCAGCAGGCACTTCTAGCTGCCGCCTGAGAACGAGACTGGGCCGGTCACAGCATCAGCTTGCAGACCTGTCCCAGAGGGTCCCCAGCAGGTGTGGCCACCACAGAGCCCCCGCAGGCTAGAAGACTGTGGGGAACCGGAGGGGGCACCAGACAACCCTGGCAGGATGTGCATCCACCCACAGCTGCACGGAAGACAAGCAGGAAAGCCCGAGAAGGCCCCGCACACAGGTGTTGAGTACGGGCAGGTGAGGTGCGATCCCGTTTACGTAAAGATCAGCGAGTGAAGGGTGCACACCTGCACACACGTGTATCTGAGCGCCTGCGAGAGATGGCTGTGCACGTGGAAGGCCAAAGGCAGACATGCCAGGGCCATCTTGGCTGCACAGACCTGGAACCAGGATCTCTGCCGTGTCTGAGTGTTTTACAAGCACACGGCCCCTTCATCATCAAAAACCAAAGCAAGCCTCGGTCTGTCCTCGAAGCTCCTTGTCCCGCTGTCACCACAACAGCCTGCAGCTGCAGCCAGGGCACCGGCTGCTTCAAACTTGACCTCAGGCAGACGCCCCACCAAAGGCAGGGCTAGCTTACCCAGGGTGTGACAGGCGCCCGGGATGGCCCGGGGACACCGATGCCCCTGCAGCACAGTGCTCCCAGGGCTCCTAGCGTTTCCAAGAGCTGGGAGGAGGGTGTCTGTATGCATATGTGTGTGGGGCGGGGAGCGGGGGCAGCAGGAGGAATTAGCTCAGGTCTAACACGTGACAAGTCACACCAGCAGCTCTCGAGGGCACGGAGGGCGACGTCAGCACAAGTGAAGGCAGAGAAAACCAGCCGTCCCGGGGGACAGAGGGCACTCGGCGGCCCGTCCTCATCATCGGGGCAGCGTGGAGAATAATTAGCCCGTCTGTGTGCTCCGCTTTGCCTCTGCGGCTCTGGAGGCAGCAATTACTCTACCGCGGAGCCAAGTGCAAACAACAAAGAGGGACACCAAGATGACTGCCACCCGCACCCTCCCTCCACCAAGCAGGAGATGGACCGGGCACAAGAAGGGGTGTCTTCAGGCCGGGATGCACTCATCCCCCAACAGTGAGTCCCCCGCCAGTGACCGCAGAAGCAGGGGACCACTGCTCTGCCCCAGAAGCCACAGTGAGCAGGCAAAAAAGGCCAGGCCAGGCCTCTCTTCTGCCTCCTACTCCGGGAGTAGACGCCAACACAGAAAACCTGGTTTGCAGAGGAGCCAGACCTCATCACCCCCACAGCCCAGCCCTTGTGCTGACCACACTCGCGCACAGTTGGGCTGCCCTGCAGGACGACGTGGGACCCAGGAGGCCTGGGGCTGGCGCTATTCCCGACCCCTGCTTTTCACTCGTCTGCAGGCCTGGACCCTCATGACGGCTCCCGGTCCTGCTGAGGTAACGACCACTGCCGCCACCAAGGACAGACTGACAGCCTGGGACAGACGCCTTCTCAGAGAAGAGTGCCGTGCAATGGTGAGACTTGAAAGTAGGCGAGGGATGGCTTGAACAGAAACCCGCCCACTTGGGGCTTGTGGTGGGCCTGACCAGCATCAGGCCAGGTCTGCGGACAAGCCTAGCTCCACTGCCTTCTCCAAAGCCTGGTCTCTCTCCAGGAACAAAGCCGCCCTGTGCCTTCAAAGTGAGCCTCTCCCCACTTTCACGAGACCACCTTCGAGATGGGAAAGTCACACAAGACCGCGTCTCCCAGCTCACGATGCACAGGGTGCTGCTGGCCACGACGACAAAAAGTAATTTCAACCCAAAGGACTACAAGCACAAGGGACACAGGTCCGCCAGCACCTGACAGCCTCAAGCAAAGCCAGCCTTGCAGGCGGCAGGCCTTCCTGGCCCCCACGAGCACCTGCCCGTCCTGATGTCCACTAGACACAGTTCACCGGGCCGAGGCATCCTCACCGGGTGACAGCAGGCCTGCCACTCACCTGCCTTCTGTTCCAAGGCTCCAGCACCCCGAAACCCTGATGCCTGGGTAAGCTGGGGGACTGCTCATGACTGGGACGCCAGGGAGACCAGGACGGCGGAGCAATCCCAGGTGTGTGCAGGGGCATCACCACGCTGCCTCTCAGACCCACAGTGGCCCCGCAGGACAGCTCAGGAGCTCTGTTGTGGGGAGGAACCCTGGCTGGCAGACAGTGCCTGCTGGGAGGCAGGGGGCCAACAGAGGAGAGGCCCCAGAAGCCCCTGAGCCGAAGTAACAGCACTTGGTGCTGGCCTCAGAGGCCAGGGCACAGGCATAAGAGGATCACCAGCTGGGGGCTGTGCGCTCGCCCGATATTAATAGCACTGACCCTGCTGCAGAGAATAGCCAGGCAGCCCTCGGGTGTGAACTGCCCTCCTGTGCTCAGGCTGGCCCACTGCCGGCCTAGGGCTGGCTGAGGACCACTATGCCCCCCCCAGGAAACCCTGGAGAAACCTCCAGGCCCCTGGCCTGCCGGCTGCAGGGCCAACCCCCCAGCCCCCACCAGTGGGACAGGGGACAGGGAATCTGAGGTGTCTCTTGGCCAAGCCAAGCTGAGTATCAGGGCTGAGCCGGGCACCCCCCTGCCCCCAGGTGCCTCCTAGAGGCATAAACAACCTGAAACTCTACCCTCTCCAGCCGAGAATAACTGCCTGCCCCACCCCCTCCACATAAGCTCCAACACGTCCCCCTCCCCCAAGGCCTCCAGGCTCTGTGTTGAGCTGGGGACACAGCCACGCCCTAGTCTGGCCACAGGGTCTGGCTGCAGGAGGAAGAGCAGGTCCTCAGGGTGGGCCGGGGCTGCAGGAGCTCCCCTCAAGTCCCAGGTCCCTGGCCTCCTCCCGTGATCAACCCATCTCACATGACAGCTTCTCTTTGAGGCTTCCAACAACACTGAGATGGCTGACAGGGGCTCAGGGGAGAAAGAATTCCACTTGAGTTTATACGCGGGAGGCACTCCTGGGAGCAGCCTCCCTGGCCGCCCAGGTAACAGGTACCTGGAGGCAGGACCAGCCCATGGGAGCCTCTCCCCACACCTCTGGCCCTGGGCAGATGAACAGCGGACAAAACCTGTCCAGGGCAGGCCTGCAGAGAGGGGCCATGCAGCTTCTGCCTCAGCCTGACACCCAGTCCTGGGTTAGGGAAGTTTACCAGGTGAGTAAGATGGGGCCAGAGGGAGGAGGGAGGAGCTGGCCCACGGGGGCCTGGGGTGGTGGTACGTCCCAGACTGGCTCAGGGACAGAGATATCAGGGCAGCTTTCTTAGAGCAGATAGAGAACTGGGGCCAGGCAGCAGGGGTGGGGTTGGGAGGCTGGAGCTCTCAAGGGGCTGAAACTGGCTCCAGGTACTTGCACTGCCCCCACCCTACCCCCTGAACCGCCCCCCTCCCCCACCAGGATCCTCTCCTTCTCATTGCCCTGGGCAAATCCAGCCAGCCTCCCTTCACTCCCACAGCGGGGTCTACCTGGACCACAGCAGGAGACAGCCTGAGGGGTGCACTGTCACTACCACTAGGTGCTCCACCAGAGCATCTAGTTCAAAGGGAGTCCGAGGTCCCTGTCCTCACGAGACTGACCTTCTAAAGGGGCCAGCAAACAAGGAACCAAGAAAGGTGGACTGACCATACCACTGTGGCTGCAACCGCAGTCAGAACCGCAGCTCAGAGGCAGCTGCACTGACACCTGGACACTGACTGGAGCCGGCTCTGGACCCTTGGGGGCATGCCAGGACTGTGAGAAGGGAGGTCACGTGCTTGAGAAACATGGTGGAGAAGGCAGGGAACAACGTGTGGGAGATTCTCCCAGGACATCCTGAGGCAGTTCCAGGGCAGGCCCATGGGCCTCTGCAGGAAAGTGCTGTGGTCTCCACACACTGCCCACGAGTCCTGGCTCCCCACCTCCATCCGCTGGGGACCACGCTCTGAGGAGGGGATGGCCTCTGCCTCCCCAGAACCATGGGGGCCCTGTGCCCACTAAGTAGTCTGTGCACAGGGCAGGGCCCAGACTGTAGCTGCCACCAGTCTGTCTTCGGGGAGTGCTTTTCTCAGGAGCTCATCTGGTCTCGAGCTCAAAAGATTCTTTGAAACTGGCAGGTGTCAGACTCAGGACCTTCCTCTTCCACGCTGTCGCCTTGCGCCAGGCTCCCAGTCAGACTGGGGCTCACTGGAAGGGTGTGAGCCTGGAAGAACTCACGATGGTCCTTCAGGCCCAGGGAGCCTCTTCCTGCCCGCAGCTCCTGGGGGAGAGCCGAGGCAGCAGTGCACCCTGCGATTCCTCCCCCCACCATCCAGCGGCCCTGTGGGCGGGCACTCAGAGTCCAGGCCAAAGCACTCGCCAGGCGGGCTGGAAAGGTTTCCTTTGGCCCTACTCTGCAGCCACCACTGAGCCTGGCCTAAGGGACAGTTCAGATCCGGAAGCGAGGAGCCAGCCCTCACCTGAGCACTGCTCCGCGTTACCCTCTGGGGCCGAACCCTAAAAGCTGCGAGCAGGAGCCGCCATCCCCGCCCCTTAACAACCTCCCTTTTTAAAAAGCCCCCAGGGCCTCGAGGGTCCCCGCGGGGCGGGCAGTCGGAAGGCACGGGAGGCGCCGCCCAGCATCACAACCCCTGGCCTCGGGTGGGACAGGGGCAGAGGCAGAGCCGAGTCCATGCGGGTCCCGGAACAGACTGACCACTTGGGAGCTTCCGGCGGGGCGC